TTCTTCACTTTTATCTATCCAAACAAAAATAATATCAACATTTTTCTTTCCTTCACTTCTCCTACTTTTCCTACGCCTCCCCCTTCCCTTCCTTTCTTTTATTGATTTTTATCCAAACATAAGCTAAAAGAAAACTCTCATTGTACATACTCTTTATTCTGTTTGGATTGATAAAGTTAAAAGGAAAAGGGAGGAAAGTTACATAGAGGTCTCTCCTCTCTCTTATTTAAATAAATTCATTAGAAAAGGGGGATGGATGAGTAACAGACTCTTCCACATCCTTATTTTTAATCCATTTAATTTGAAGGGATTTGAAATGATTTGATTTATTTATATTATTTCTTTTTTTTTTCTCAAAAATATATGAAAATTTCCATTTTAACTTTAATTTAAATATACAAAATTATAAAATTTTAATTAATTTTCTTTAATTTATTTAATTAAATAAAAAATATAATCTTCCCCCTCTCCTCCTTTTTTTTTTTTTTTTTTTTTTTATTTTTAAATTTATCCAAATCAAATTAATAGTAATTTTTTACTTTCCTTTTCCCCCCTCTCCCCTGTATTCCATTCCCCTTCATTTCCTTCGTTTTTCATTACTAACTTTTATCCAAACATATTTTTAGAAGGTGTGGAGTTGGAGGGCTCAGTCATTTAAAAAAACAAACAGATTGAGGGTGAAAGTTACAAAATAAATGACTCGAAGGGCTAACCAAGAGATATTACAAGAAAAGTTTCAAATTTCGCTTAACCTTTACGCGCTTGCGCTTTAATTAAAGGTATTTTTAAACAAAGATCTTGATTAGGGTTCTAATCTTTTCACCCTCTCGAATTCAATTAGGGTTTCAGCCCCCTTCTTCTCCAATTGTTTGGACCTTATTCCTCAAATTCACATAATTCAATGTAACTTTAATTCCTTTTCTTCACTTCCAATAATTTTTTCTTTGCTAATTCAACAGAAATCGTGAGCTAAATTTGTTTACGTTGTGGGTTTTTTATTCAGGGGAATTGTTAGATTGGAAATTCCATGCCCTCAGAATGTCAATGGAGTTGCTCTTGATCCGAAGCCTGATTGGAGCTTCGAAGCCTTACTATCTGAGCTTGATTCTTTGGAAGAGAAGCTCAATGAATCTTCCTCAGTTCCTTTTCCCTTTACCAAAACAAATTCGAGGTATTCTGCCCCCTTCATCTATTTGTTCTAATTGACTGTGGTACATTCATAGT